GGCTGTGGAGCTGGGGAAGTGAAAGTGTGCTGAGGATTTGGGGCTTGTTGTTCCAGGGATCTATTAGTGCATAATCAACTACCCCCAAACTTAGTTGCTTAAAGCAGCCACCATTTTATTTATTACACAGTTCTAGTCAGGAATTTGGGCAGTTCTCTCATTTGACGTCATCTGAGGTCACTTGGTAGTAATCAGGATGGACTTATATGGGGAGGCCATAGTGGCCTCAACCCATTGCACACCAGGATCAGCTGGGACTGCAACTGAAGTGCCTTTGTGTATCTTTCCTAGCATGCCACTCCCAGGGTAGTTGAGTTTCTTATGGGGCAGCTCAGAGTCCTAAGAGAAGGACTAAAGCAGAAGCTACAGGGCCTTTCCACATCTGGTTGTAGAAGTTTAAGACCACTGCTTCCTCTGTATCTTGCTGGTAAGCAAATCACAAGTCATGGGGGTCAGTACATATTTAGAAACAGCACATATTTAGAAAGAGGAGAATTTGATTCCATCGATTCGCAGAGGTAATGAGGAATTTGTGGCCCTTTTTCAGCTGCCACATGGTGTTCCTTGACGGAAGATTCACTGCAAGAGACTTTAGGAAGTGATGGAGGGATGCTGGTGTATATGATCAAATGTACTTTTCACATTTGGTGGCCAAGATCAGAAGACTGAGGCTGAGGAGTAGGCAGAGGCTGCGAGTGGGATAGCAGGCAAGGATTACTTTTTCAGGATTCTTGGTTGTATGTGGAAGATGGGAACGAACCTGGAGGCTCAGAGGAAGGTCTGGGTTTGGAGGGCTTGTGTGCTTGACTTTGTTTCATTTGAAGATGGGTGAGGTCACCAGTGGCTCATTGTTGCAGATTGTGGGTGTGCATTTTCATTCTCATGGATGACTGCTGAACCGATGAACCCTTGAGGGAATTCTGTCTGGTCTTTGGTGATATAACTTTCTTCTGGTCCTAGTCCTTCTGCCTGTGTTCAGGAAAGGGTTGTTTCTTTTAATGGTTGTATTTTCTAAGTACTGTCTCAGTCTTCTTGCTTCCTAATTCTGTGCCCTTTCTTTGAAGTCCCATTTATTCCTATGATTTTAACAGACACATATGATGAAGGCCCCCAAATCTTATTATGTCCAGAACTCTAGCTCTGCCTATCGAGTTGCCTTCTGCATGTCTCCCCTGAATGGCCCTTTAATTCCTGTTCCTGTTTCTAATAATTTCATTACCTTGGCCAGGCCAGATGCCTCCTTGATTTTCCTTTTATCTGTCCTTCACCCTCTGCATCCAGACAGGTCACCAAGTATTGTTGATTTTGGGGTTCTCAATTGTGGCTGCACAAAAACATTACCTGTGGGGTTTTGCAAATGCAGACCTGGAGTCCATTCCAGACTTCCTGAATCAGAATCTCATGGGATTTAACTTTCCATATTTTTATAAGGCTTCCCAGGTGATTCTGATGTTTACCTCACATTGAAAACAACTCTAAAACTTTTCTTTTAATACGTCAGCTCATTTCATCATCAGAGCTTTAATTCAGATCTTTTTAGTTTCTTGTGGCTCCTATAACAAATTACCACAGTTTGTTGGCTTAAAGAGCGAAGTTGACCAAACTATGCTTTGCACATTGAATATATTAGAATCCATTCCAATTTTGTATATAATTATAATGCACCAGTTGAAAAATGAACAAACAAAAGGAAGACCAGTGGAGCAGAGAATGGGAATCAGGAGGAGGGAAGAGGGAGGGAAAGAGGAAATTGTTGGGATTGAAATGGAGAAAACTATTTATATGTATTTATGAATATGTCAAAATGAACCCCATTATTATATGTAAGTATAATGTAATATTTAAAAGTAAACAAACTATTTTTTCTGTCACAGTTTTGGAGACCATGAGTCTGAATCAGGGTGTTAGAAGGGCTATGCTATCTCTGAAAGTTCTAAAGGAGAATCCTTCCTTACCTATTTCAGCCTCTGGTGGGTCCAGGTACTCCTTGACTTGTGGTTGCATAACTGGAGTCTCTGCCTCCATTTTCACATGGTCACTCCTTTGTTTCTTGTGTCTCTTAGAAGACATTTGCTGTTGGATTTATGGCCTACCAGTAATCCAGGGTGATTTAATCTAGAGACCCTTAATTACGTCTACAAAGACTTTTTCTAAAAGGTCATATTCACAAGTTTCAGAACATGGTCATATCTTTTTGAGGGCTAGCATTTCCACTACCACATGCTCCCTCTGGCTATGATGGTTCTCCCAGCTGATCATCTTGCCTCTAACCTGGGTATATCCTCAAGTATATTCATCATGTGATCCATTTGCTTACATCTTACCAGACTTCCCATTCCCTTTGGGGGCGTAAGTCCTTTATCCTGGAGAACCTGGCGTCTGTCTGCCTTTCCCATCCTTTACCATTGATTCTTATGCTCTTAAACTTCAGCTCATGGCATTGAACTGCCTTCATCCTCCCTGCCTTATGCAGGCACTTGCCTCACACTTACAAGTTCAGAGTTCTGGTTAGATTCAGGACAATGCAAGCAGCATCTTCCCATGAAGCCTTCCCTAAGTCCTCTCCTCTGTGCACTGTGCTGCTAGTGCCTCGTGTTCTGCGTGTTTTTTTTTTTTTAATTTTTTTAGTAACATTTGTTTTTGTGCCTTTTTCTCTAGGCAGAGAGCTCTGTGAAGGCAGGAAAGCTGATATTCATCATTGTAGCTCTAGTACTCGGTACTATAAATATTGAATAAATGGTGCTGTAGCTTAACCTAATTAGCTGCTCGTCTCATCTTGATTCTGGTTTTGCCACCAGTACTTTAAGTTTTCCATAGGATTTTTCACCTAACATTATCTAGACATGTAAGTAAGTAGGCAACCTATAAGTAGACTGACTTTTTTTATTTCTTTAACATGCAATATTTGTGCACTTCTGTGTAAGTAATTTAAATTAAAATGTTTCTGCATGCATTAAGGTTGACATTTCTGGACCCTCCTTCACTTTATGTTAGAGATGGCTTTGGAGTTGTTAATAGCAGAAACAAACTTGAGTTAGCTGAAACTAAAAAGAAATTTATGAACAAGGATCAGAGTACAACTGGGCTAATGGATTCTTTCTATCTCTTTTTGCTTCTTTTCTGTATTCATCTGCTTCATTCTTCAATTTATCTGCTTTTTCAGCCAAATACAGGTTGGGACATGCCCATGGCCCCCATGTTTACAGAGACAAGCAGCCACCCACAGAGGCTGGCTTGGTTAGTTGTTTCTCTTCCCAGTTTTGTGTTTTCCAGGATGAGGATGTCATTGGCCAGCTTGGGCCTTATGACACCTCTGGCCAGTCAGCTGCAGGGTGGTGGAGAGGATGCTGGCAGGGCTGTCTCTTCTAAATGTGGTGCTGGAGCTCACCCTTGGGAATTAAGGGCTGGATTCCAGAGAAGGAAGTGCTATTGTGAGAAAATAGCCTAAAAAGAGCTGGACCAGAGGTGTGGTTGAGGGAAAGTTGTAGCAAGGGCTGGGTTAAAACCAGGGGCACAGGAAACATTTCTAGATCTTGTCTTAATTTTCTGTAGACCACAGTAGTGAAAATGGTTTTCAATTGTTTACTGTCTTGACTTCATTTGGTTTGCATATGTTTCCTTTAACAGAATGTTCATCATGAATAAAGTGGTGTGAAAATATCTTAAAACAAAGTGGGTTTATGATGTTTGTTTAATTATGGATATTCCATAGTAGTGATCACAAATATGTTTAAGAAAGTAATGTACATTTTTCTGTCTTGCCTGAAAAGGAGAGTAATAAGACTTGAAACAAATATCATTTATTCTAGAGACATTTTTATATAGCTGACATTCCTTTTTGATGGGAATGGAAACAGATTACAAACACAGTGGGAATAACTTCTGCTGATTATGTAAAACCATTGTCAGACTGCAGATACTGACTCAATTCTTAAAACACCCTAAATTCCTTTGTTCCAAAGTCTGTGGTTCCCAGTGGCCTCATGTCCCCTGTTCTCTACCCTGGTGCCCATCTCCTCTTCTGGGTAGAGCTGGAGAAGTGGAGAGAGCCCAGAGATCTGCTGGACAGGACCCTTAGGTCAGAAACAAGCTACCAGAACCACTGTACCCTGACTTTGGTATTCTGAGGGAGCTTTGGAACAGCCATATTTATCTATGTGCATTTTAAATGATTCCTTTCCCTTTTCTTTTTTTGAAAGGAACTTCTGCCAGTGTAGGCAGAGAATGAATAGTCATGTTAGTGTGGCCATAGGGGACAGTGGTCTGAATAGTCAGGGACAAGTTAATTCAAAGTTAGAATATGCAGTCAAAAATTTAACTAACTGCAACCTTGCCTTTCTTTTAAACTCTCATATTAGCAAAATATATAAGAAATCTGTTTAAGGATATTATGTGTTTTCCTGGTGACTCTGTAAATTTTTGACAGTTTATGGACTATAAAATTCAATGCATAATTTGTATATAAGTTATTTTTTGCTAACGTAGCATTGTAGGGTTCAGTGAGAAATGTGAGTGAATATATTCAGAACTTTAAAGAAAGCAGGTAACTATATTTGATCTTCTTACAAATAAAAATCTTATCGACAACATGATTTGAGAATGAGGTGTGAGGTTTAATTAGTATGCTATTTTCTAACTAGTTCATTTAAAAATATTTCTTAAGTTTCTCTGGGGTCCATTAGAATGGTGCTAGCTGAATTGAGCCTTTTCTTAATATGGCCTCTGCAAAATCTGCTTATTTATACTCTGTTTCAAAAAAGATTGGAAGAGTGACTCCATAGAATAGGAAATTTATAATTACTTGTACATCTCTCTTAAATTAAGTTTCTGGAAGTGATTTGAATTTCATTACAGCTAAAGTCTGTTTTGTAACCCTTTCCTTTTGTGAGTGGTTTGGTGGGCAGTTCTTTAATCCTGTCTTTTCCATTATTTCATCTAACTTTCATGCCTAAAACTTTTAAAATCCACAAATAATTGAACTATCTCATCTCTGTTCTTAGGTACAATGGTGCTTTACCTAATGGTGACAGAGGAAGGAGGAAAAGCAGATTTGCTCTCTATAAGCGGCTGAAGGCTAATGGTGTTAAACCTAGCACAGTCCATGTGATATCCACACCCCAGGCTTCCAAGGTAGGTGACTTTGGCCTATTTGGGAGGACCTTGCAAACGGTGATTTATGATTATTCCTTATTAGCTGCTTTCTTTCCTTTACTCCTGTTCTTGTATAGGACATTTTCTCAACCATCTAAAGCAGGGTATATGTTGGGAGGGGCTGTGCTATGTGCTATAGAATATTTAGCAACATCCCCAGCTTCAACCCACTAGATGCCAGTGGCACTCTCCTCTCCCCACCCCTAAGTTGTTCAAAACCAAAACAACTTGACATTGTAGGATGTCTTCTGACGGGGGGTTAGTAGGTAAAATCTGCCCCATTTTGAACCTCTGCTTTATGATGAAAAGTAATTACCATTGTATCAAGTTAGAATTGCTGTGACTGATTGTATATTGTGTGCATGCACAAATATGTAACAACAAATCCCATCAGTGTGTACAACTAATGCTCCAATAAAAAATGTGGGGGGGGGGAGGGGAGGAATAATAGCTGAAAGATATATAATGTTCTTTATTCTAAATAGTTTTTGTATTGAATCTTGGTATAAACTGCAAAGATTTGTAATTTTCATTCTATTAATTGGATATATTTTGTGTTTTCACATATTCTCCATGAGCATGTAATTAAATTTGTGTGATTATTGGAAAGATAGGAAGAAGACAGACCTAAGTGATGTAAGTCCACTGTACCTATTTGAAATAAATAAAATACTATATTTTAAAAAAGGATTATTTAATTTGCTTCCTGATATACAGCTGGGGGAAAATAGGAGCTTTCATTTTGGTTGATATATTTTTCATTAGACTTAAGAAAGTTTTTTTTTCAATAAGATGAATTATTTGAGGTATATAAAGTTTCGTTTTGTAGAAAATAATTATATGTACCTGTAGTATTTTATATGGGGCTACTAGCTGTACATGTTTATCCTCATGGGTTTTGGTCACTTGGAATAAATCAGACTTGATTCCCATCTTACTGAAAACATGTATTGAGGGAGAAATGATGGCTTCTTGGAAGCAGGCTGGTGTTTATATGGTGATAATAGTATGGATTACCTTTGTGGGTGCTTTTATTTTTAAAAAGCCCTTATTGTTCCTGAAGCAGAGCTATGGAAAGAGTTTGTTAGAATGTACCAGTTAAGATTGTCTTGTACTAATGAGGGAATGACTAGATAAAAAATATCAAGCTCCAGGTAAACAGAGGAGAAGAGTTTAATGTGGGCAAGTTTTCACCAGGGAAAGAGAAATAAAATAAATATTTTAGGGAAGAAAGAATATTTTATAAGGAAAACAAAGGAAATCCAGCTTTACAAAGATTTTGAAAAAAGAAGTCAAATAGCAACAAAATCTTGGAAGGTCAAGAACTAGGAGAAACATTTTATGTAAACAACAAAAATATTTGGTATAGAAGAAAACCAAGACAAATGTTTTTAAGCATGTTTTGAGTGTCAAAACTGTACTGATACTGTAGAGGTGGTACTTATAATTTTGCATATTTGTTGACATTCATCTGTGTCTGTACCTTGTTATTGGCTTTTTAAAAAAAGTCTAGGTCTGTAATAGAATGGCTGACATTTAAAAAGTTAGGAAAATAATTGTTTTTCAGTGAAATATTAAAATTTACTACTATAGGGATATCAGTGGTTTTTATCATTCCCTACCTCCCACATTTCCCATTTTAGCCGAAGTTTCACCTGTATATCTAGATTTTACTTGAAGTTACTTAGATTATACATCTTTTTGTCTTAAGTTTGTGTTTAAACATATTACCCACAGTACTAAGAGTAAGTCACATCAGGTTTTGGTCTTTACCTTTCTTATGTTGTAATCTGGGGAAAATGTATTCTAAGGGTCTTAGATTACTCATTTATTAAATAAGCAGATTGCCTACAGGCAGAAACAATGTTGAAACAGATAATACACTTTGGTTATAAGCAACAGAAATTCTGAACTTAAATAAAAAGCAAAAATGGGGAAATTCTTACGGGATAGAATAGGAATAGCTCTCAGAATCAAGGAAAAGTTGGGTAACCAGGTTTCATTAAGAGGAGAAATGGAGTATCAACAAGAGTTCACTTGGATATTCTTTTCATGTGCAGTGACTTGATTTTAGTCACCTTCTGTCTCCTCAATTTTCCAAGAGAGAGAATCTGATAGACTGCACCTGGGTCACCCAGTGCGGTAAAGGGAGATGGCAGACCAGGCATATTTATTGTGAGTTGACTTCCCAGTGCTGTCCTAACTTCATTCATCGTTGTGCCTCTACCTTGAGGTTCTTGTACTTAGTAAGTACTGAATAATGGTTAGGACAAGGAATAGGTACTGAATCTATTTTCTTCTTCCCTACATGAATTTCTGACCTCAATTACAAATCCTTTCACTTTCTCTGGTCCCTGCCAAACTGGCATCACTCAGCAGCTTGGCCCTACCACTCCTCCTGCTAGGTTTGCTCTCTTGGCCCCTTTCACTTTGAAGCCCCATTCAGATGTAAACACAGCCTCTTGCATATTTAACTTGATCTGATTGTATTTACTATGCACTTCTTATTTCCGTTTCTTGTAGTTCATAGAACTAGCAATGATTCTATTTTGCTACTCCATTCCAGTCTCTTCTTGTTGAGATTATTCATCTAAGCTATCTTTCCCCCAGATTTGTGGACCTTGCTGACCTATAGTTTGCTTCTGTGTATTTTGGTGCCCCAGTGCAGCCCTGTGTCTTTCTCCTGGACCCTGTAGCTTCTCAGATTCATTGTACTTTAACTCTTTCAATTTCAGAAGCTGTCACTTCTGCTCCACTTTCCCACTCATACAGTACACTTTACAGCCAATGTCACTTGGAAGTGAACATAATATTCTATTCATTCTACTTGTGCATACACACTTTCTTATCTACTCTCATTACACATTCCATTCTTCAGTCTGTCCCTATTTGCTATGGTTATTGGTCTACTTGGCTTCTCCAGTTATATGTTAATTTACCCCAATTTCTCTTTCTTTGGTGCTTTTTGGGACCTTTCTCCCTGAGTACCTGGCTCCAGGCTCTATCCAGACTCTGCTGGACTGTTTTGTTTGTCCTGCTTGTTGCTTACACCATGTCCCATGAGAATGCCAGTCCCATGGCAAAAACTATTTCACCTGAAATGACAGTAGTTTGCATGTCCTAGAACTTTTGATTCTTTAGTATTGGAAATAAAAGGTTTATCTTTGATTAGGGCTGTGAAAGTGAAATCTAGAAGGGTGGGTATGTTAGGACTTGAGCACTGTGCCTTTTGTCTATGTTCTTTCTTTCTTTGCCCCATAATGTAGGGCTGAACAAGGATGGATATCCCTTTGATGACTGAAGAAGCAGCTGGGAAACAGGACCTTTTAGTCTCCTATGCATGCCAATGTCCAAGCAAAAGCAGATTAGGGTGGCAAACATGTGCCGCTGTTGTGTAATCTCTGTTTGTATAGTCTTTATTTGTGCACATAATTGTTCTTGGAATAATACAGGTATTTTTCTGATTATTTAATGCATCATTTAAAAAAAAATCAAATGTCCTGTTTTATTTCTGGCTGTTCTGTTACATAGGCACAGGGCCTTTAGTAATGTATTCACCCACTCATTTACTCAACAAATATTTATCCAGCACCTTCCATGACTAGGCATTATGCCAAGTATTGGATAGACTGCAGTGAACAAACACATCAGTATGGAGCTAATCGTCCAGTGAGTAGGAAACAATAAAGAATTATGTGAATACACACGAAACTGCACATTGTGAAAAGAGCTGTGAGGAAAGGGGGTTCAGAATGGAGACTGGGTAGACAAGGAAGGATGTCTGAGCAAGTGGTGTATGAGCTGGAGGGAAAAGGGATTGACCAGGACAGCAGAGGGATTCAGGCTATTGTGGGCCTGGCTGTAGAAGATTTGAGTTTTTTCCCAAAGGGAAACATTGAAGAGTGACATGCTGTGAGTCAATTTATATATGCTCATTTACTTTTTATTATATAGGGCATCTATTTTGCTATTATTACTAGTGAATAGTGAGTGTGACAGTTGTGGTTGTGGTGATGATGATGATGCCTGTGCCTGATAGGGGAATATTTTGCTAGCAGCATGGTTGAAATTTAGCTATGGGAAACTCTCTTCCATATGTTTTTTTTTGTGCTTTTTAAGATATATATGACAGTACAGTGTGTTTTGACATATTATATGTACAAAGTATAACTTACTGTAATTAGGATCCCATTCTTGTGGTTGTACATGATATGGAGTTTCATCGGTGATGTAATCATATATGAACATAGGAAAGTCATGTCCAATTCATTGTACTGTCTTTCCTGTTCCTGCCCCACTTCCTTCCCTTCATTCCCCTAATCCACTGAACTTCTAATTCTAATCCACTGAACTTCTACCCCTCTCCCCTGTTGTATGTTAGCGTCTGCATATCAGAGAGAACATTCAACCTTTGGTGTTTTGGGGAAAACTCTTTATCATGATTTCCCCTTCCTAGATGATGCTTTAATGAAATATCCCTTTTAAAGGTATTTTTGCCTTCAAAAAATAATTGAAAATAATTTTATTCCAGTTAGCATATTTCATAAAGGAAAATATCAGTGGTCTTTAAGTGATAGTTTAGTGAAAGATTAGTACTACTTAATATGATTGCCATGACCAGGCTGAATCCTGTGTCTTTCTACTCTTTGTGTTGCTACAATATAGTACCTGGTACTAGGTACTTTATAAAGAAATTTATTTGGCTTACTATTCTGGTGGCTGGAAGGTTCACATAGTATGGCACCTGCATCCTAGTTGTATCACAACAAGGCAGAGAAGCAAAAAGGGAACCAGCCAAGATATAAGATACAGGCAGGGAAGCAGAGAAGGGCAAGGCTTGTTTGTTTTTTTTTTTTTTTTAATAACAGCCAGCTCCCATGGTCACTAACCCAGTCTTCAAGACCTCATCTACTCTGTGAAACCAGCATTAACCTCTGCCCCAGGTGGTACCCCCATGACCTCCTAATAACATTCTGCTA